CCATACCGTGTAATGTGTCGAAAGCTCGCAACCATTAATGAATCTGCCCTTTGAGTCTATATTCCTAGCAACGTATCGTTCTGCCCAATGCTTCGTAAAAGCCGGACGGGGACTGCGGGGGTTGCGCCTGCGAGAACGAGGTCCCACGGGCGTTGGATATTTCAAACTCTGAATGGGTCCCGTATAATGAGGACCTGGGATGGAGGTTCTTCGCCTGGTGTGTCTGTCTTAAGTGGGACGATAATATGACTTCAAATAAGTAAAAAGAAGTGCTCTGAATAAAATAATCAAATTATTACTGAAAATCACGCGTTCTGGAAGGGCTAATGAATTTTAATTTAGAATTCATGTAAGTGAAGGGAATTCAATAGAAACATTTCTTTAATGCTATTTCTTAAACATAATAACAGTTCATACTCAACATGTAAACAATACATATTTATTAAACATAACAAAACTTAAACTTATGTTTAACTTCACAGTTCACTAAAATACGAATTTCCAGCTTTCAGGTTTCACCTCTTACTTAGAAAGCACCAACTAATGAAGTAAAATAATAGTAAAAAAAGACTTGGCCGGGTGGAGAACATTTTAACTCTTCAGAACAACCTTTTTTCCTACACATATCCTCAAATCTCAAGTGTTGTACTAGAAATTTTTAAGTATTCCGTAAGGGAAATGGTTAACAATCTATTCATACATAGCTATTTTCTAGTCTCTGTATTTTGCAGTCTCCGTATTTTTTGCAAAACTTTTATGTATTGTAATAAAGCCTTCAAGATGCGGTATCATTTAGAAGTATAATAATTAGAGGAGATATACTATTTATTATTGCCAGTTTAAAACGACTTTACTTATTGCACAGGAGTAATACGTAAAATCAATAAAACCTGCCAAATACATATTTTCGAGTTACTTACTCTAGTATAAAATTCCTCGTTCCAGTTTTGCTTCATGGACTACAGATATAGTCTCTTACTTGCTTGCATTACAATAGTATATCTTAGCCACGGATAATACGTACAAGATTTACCGTGGATACATGGAACTGCAGATAATAACGAAGGCAATATAAAATAGATATTCAAATAACATACATAAATACTTTCAAATATAATTGACAAATCATGCATTCAAAAGCATTAACAATTAATGCAATACATTATACTGGATTATGTGTACAAAATAAAATAGTGCAAAACAAACTGTAATTGTTTTCTTCACTTCAACGAAGAATTTTGGACCCAGTCGGACTAATACAAATTTAAATTCAGCAAAATTTCGGGATTTAGATAAATGATTACAGTCTGACTTCAGGCCTAATCCCTCACTTAGGTTCACAGAATAGTAGATGGCTTCTTACAAAACAATATTTAAAACTCCGTGAAACTGATCAAATCCTAGGTCCTATCTATATCCTAGGTACTATCCTGATCAAGAGAGTGAAAACAACTATAGATAGTTGTTTTCACTCTCTTTCTCTTTCATGTGTATATAAGTAAAGGAATTAGCCGCTTTAACCTTAATCGCATTTACATTTTCTTAGTTCTCAAAAACTTTATTACTTTTGTTATTTGTACGCTTTGGGACCATTAATATACTATACAAGAGCATTTTGGTATGAAAATTGCTACAATACGGCATTAACGAAAAAAAGGAAAATTCTAACAGCAAAATGGAATCAGAAAACTATCTTACGTATGAAGAGATGCCTTCGTTGAGGTTTTTCTAAGGAAACTTGCCCGTATTCCTGCTATATGTGGAGAATGCTACGAAAATAACACATGCAGTAAAACCGTTCGCCAGAATTTCGAAGCCGGGTTGAACTACCACTATTTAACAGTATCCACTTAGATACTGGAGGATTTGAATCTGCTCGGAAACGAGCATATAGTGCGTGCTTGCTTAGAACGATAATGCTGTGAATACCTGAGCGCTGAATTTCATTATGTTACACACAGTTGTCACTTAGCAAATAGCTAAAAAGTAGGCTTTTTTCTTTGCTGTTATTGTTTAATTTCGTAACTGTAAACTACGGATAACTAAAATAGCAGGTATTGAATCAACGAGTACGAAGGCAGAATTGTTTTTAGTAAATTATGAGCATCATTTGCACATTTTATATGCTCACTCGAATTTTAAAAATTCAAATATATTTATGATCATTTTGCTTGTTTATGAGAAGACCTTGAGAATTTTTCTCACTTTATTTCTTTCAGAATTATTTCTTTTCTTTACCTTATTTACTTCTTTTCTCCTTCCTTTTCTTTAAGGCGGTATGTATGTGTGTTAAAATTAAGTTAATTATATTTTTCATATCATTTAATTTCATCCTTCATTTTGCGCAAATTTTTGACTGGGCAATATGGTGATTTTTTATCTCAAATTTGTAACAAGATATTAAATTTACGTTTGTAAATAAGAAGCAAAAAATATTGATAATAATACGTAAAATTTTCCCCTTACAAATTCAGTGTCGTTTCAAGGATACCGTAAAAGTTAAACAGCTGTTTTAGAACTTTGCATTAGAAACCTTATCACGCATAGCAGTTTTTAGTAATATTAACACCGTTTCCCAAAATTTATATCATGCATATCAGATGATTTTGAGCATATGAGGATGGAATTTTTTTTTTATTTTTTATTTTTTTTTATTTGTTTGTTTCTCTAATTCGGCTACAGAAGACAGAAGACCATCAATGGAGCAGCCGCACCATCATTACAACTTTCGGTAATAGATGCTCCATCGATGGATACCATCCATTCTAATTCGGCTACAGGAAACATATTCATCTTTGACATTATTTTACTACAGTTATTTAAATTTTGTATATTTCTACATTAAAGAAGTCCAATCTAAGAACGCTAATTTTTTTTTTTAACTGGCTGAAAAGTCTTGCAAGTTGAAAGACCTTTCAGCCGGTTAAAAAAAATTAGCGTTCTTAACTGAATTAACTATGGGTTAATTAACTATTACGAATCAACTATTAAGTAGCATAAGCACGTACTTAGGGCATCAAGGAAAGGGGCCACCACAAAAGGGTCCTTAGGTATTCAACTAATGCAGCACTGAAAAATTTCCCATAGCCGGTTTTACCACAGAATGCATGGTGCAGCTAAACCAAAACAGAGAAAGAGTGAAGAAAAAAGCAGCCTATACCAAAATCTTTTAAGCGCTTAGGGTCTCTAAAAGTCTTAATCCAGCCGTGCATTAAAAAAGTCTTTTAGAGATTGATTAATTAAGACAATGCATACGAAGACCAGCCAAGGCTGGGCACGGACAACTTTCAATCCTTTCGTCCTCTAATATGAAAGCAACATACAGCAATTGCTTGCTGCAGAGATGCAGAAATATACACGTGTTCACAAACTAGTTCTAATTTCAAAATTATAAATTCAAATTCCATATTTTAATAATGCACTATCAAACTAAAGAAACATAGTTTGGTGTAGTACACGTCTGGTTTCTCTAACAACGTTAAAAAAAAGTCGTCAGGTATTTTTGTACCTTAGTAGTATGTAAATGCACTGATAGAAACAAAAGGGTTAAAGAGAAATTGGCATTGCACTCGAAAAATACCATGAAAATTCCATACAGAGGGCCTATTTGTTGCCATCTGAAACTGCTGCTTGTCCTTAACCTTTCGATCACAGATGAGCATTAGAAAAGTTTATTTTAACTAACCAAATAATATGCTGTTATTTTGGCTGTTCTATGTTTTACATTTTACAGCCTTCAACAGAAAGCAAATTAGTTTAAAATATGAATAAAGAGTTACTTTCAAATTTTATTGAACAGCGTTTGGCAGCTTAGGCATTCTGCTTGCTTATACCTGTATTTCTGTTTTTTGTTACAAGCCAATTTCCTTTAGAAATTCCTCCACGAAGGCATCCCTCCCTTTAGGCAGATAGCCCTCGAGGCTTTGCCATAATCACACACACACACACACACACTCTGTTTTTTGCATTGACTTCCTGCGATTCTCCACCAGTGACTGGTTAAGAGTATCCAAGATTTAAGTTAGGCCTTTAGGGCTAATATTGTGAATTACTTTGGGCTGAGAAGCTCTTAATTACCTGCAAATTAGTGGAGTTTTGTTTCTTTTAGTTTCAGTTTGTGTAATCATCAGCCCAATGCTTAAATAAATATTTTTATTTGGGATTTGACTTACACGTACTTAGTGGTACTTCTAGCTAAGAAGTTAGACGGAATGAAAATTTGCCCAGCAGTCTTTTACGGTTACTTTAGTGAGCTGGCACATTTATGGGGAAACTTTATATAATGATTTTATACGATCTGTGTATGTGCCATTTTGGCAAATACGATTTCTTTATAGTTTTGTGTTAAAAATACGCACATATGTATTTAGGAACGGCTCAAGCTACGGTGATATTTAGACCATTTATTAATTTTCTAATAGTAGATCGCTTAGAACATATTAAGTTCGCAAAGTCTTATATGAAATCTTAAAAAAAAAAGTAGAATCATTTTTATAGGTAAAGCCATTTATATTGGGATTGTAGAATTAATCACGATTATGATAACTCTGTTTCGTACAGCAACAGTTTTGCAATACTTAGTATTTCCATTTTATTTATTATGTATGCGTATATGTATGTGAAAGCTCTATTAGTCTGGTAACATAAATTATTTCAAGTTTACAGTTTAGTTGATATTTTTTTATATTACAGTTTTGTTTATATACTGAAGGGAATCAGTGAAAAGTTGACAGCATCGTAGAAGTAGCATGAAAATAAAACAAAACTGATTGACAGGATGGATTGCGCAGTTAATGGATAATAAACCACTTGACCTTACAGCATCGCATGACCAGATAATTCTGGAAATAACGAATAACACAATGATCAAATTAAACTATAATCATTCAAGTTTGATGTTTATTGGTCCATCCTATTCACGAAGCAATATTTTAACCAATCGTAGAATAGATTTTGCACTCGTTTCCTAGATGATAATTTTTTTCATTATATACTTTTGCACACAGCTCTAGCAGGAGGTGGAGTGAATTTTGCGCACGACACCAAAAATTGCTTGCAAAAGGAAAATAAATATAGCATCTTAAGCTTTTGATGGATATTAAACATACTGGATTTGTCGAACGAACATTGTGTTCATATTTGAAGCTGTTTCTTTTCCTTTCTTCGTCTAACTTTTGGTAAGTGAAAATTTTGTTTTGTACAGTTTAACGCTGAATGAATTTCGATTTGAAATGCCTAATGTATTTTGTGTTTTATAAATTGTAAATTATAAAAGAAGGTAACTTCTGTTTAAATGTGATGATAGTAAATCTCTGTTTCGAGTCATAATTCTTGTGGGTAAGGAATCTGTACAAAAACATTTCTTTCATTTATTTTGAGGGTTATTTACAAACATTCAATGGTAAGAGTAAAAAACATTTAAACGAACAACTAATTTAAATTTTCTTTAAAGAAAAGAAATTAACGTATTCATTGTACTAATGTTTGAGTCATGTATCCTACGGAGTAAAGAAATTAATATTTTTAGAAAGTAGTCTTAGAATCGATAAATACCAAATAGCACACTGAATATTTTCTGCCTAAGTAAAAGCATTATATTGTAGAACTCCCAAAAGCGATAAACATGAGAGAATCATCAGTGCCTTTGGCCAGGATTCGAATGCCGGACCTTTTCATGTTAGCCGGGTGTGGCTCCAAATATACCATGAAGGTATACATAAGGGAGGGGAAAATTCCTTCAATGCGTTCTACAGAGTCGTGCTGCCCAGACGGTATAGGAATCTACTGCTTTACCGAAGGGCCCTGGTTCGAATCTCAGATAAGGCATAGATGTTGAAATTAGCGAAGTCGTACTATCACCTTGTATGTGCTCAAGGCTTTGCGAACGACAGGTGCAATTTTACTCTCCTTGCCACGATGAATTTTCTGAGCTTGTTTTGATATCACTGTCAAGCAAGTAAGATAAGTTACTACGACAAAAAATGTCGCTGTCAATTCTGCAGTAATTTCTACTAATTTATCTTAGACGATCTCTTTGCATTCTATTTATTATGTGAATGATGAATGCATTCTCTTTATTTGATTATAAAGAGATGTCTTTGGCCATTCGGTGATAACTTTTGAATTTTATTTATTTCATTTAGACATCCTATTTATTGTGCACAGTATTTATTCATCTTATTTGACAATAATTTATTTGTTCTATGCATTTGACTTTGGTACTTTGTAAAAGTTTATGTGAGTTCTCTAAATATTTATTTGATTTAAACATCCTATTTACTCTAAATTCTGCATATTTGATGAATGACTCGTGCATTGTTTTTTGTTTGGTAATAAAATGTGCTTTATTCTGCAATAATTTTTAACCTGTTTGTTTAATTTGCATTCTGGACATTCATGGTCAATTCAAGAGTAATTAAAAATTTTCTTAATAGCATTAGCCTTTTTCTATAAAATAGTCTTAAAATCAGCAAATACTAAATAAGGTACTGAGTAATTTTTTTTTTTTTTTTTTTTTCCATAAATGAAGTTTGGAAAAGTCTTTCGCAATCTTGAAAACTTCTTCATTCGTCTTGTTTTACATTCCACTTAGTCTGCCTTTCGATAATTGGTTTATGTATTTTATTTCATTATAAACTGTTTTGTAAAACTACAGCAATTCTCCCGTAATTCATTAAAAGCTATTTTTTCTGCCAGAACTTTCTTTTCAGCAGTGCTTAATGACGAGTCTGTTATTAATATTATTCTATATGAAACAACTAAGAATTCATTTTACAGCCTGAATTTTCGATAGCCTTATTAGAGGTCTGAGTTGTTTAAGTTACTGAAATCATTTTAGTTTATAGCGCAGAATACAATATTAGACTCGTAGAAGCCAGTTCGAGCTAAGTTTTCTCATATTTAAACCTTATTCGTTTTAAAGAATTATCAGTTAAAAATCTTATTATTTATGGCATTATTATATAAATATATTATCATTACTCTCAAAGGACAAGTAAGTAAATATAATATTTCTAAGTTTAGATGCATATCGATTTTACGTGATGATTTATGTAACTGTCATGATCTATTTGCTTACGAACGTTTGATTAATAGTGTCATAAATTATTATACTATTTTAATTAGAATAATTTTCAGCACCTATTTAAGATACCATTGAATTATCATCAAGATGCATCATGATACCAGTTATTTAATTTGAACCTACTGATTATAAGATGAAAATAAGCATTATAAAATAAAGAATATTATTCTCTCTATAATTCAGTAGAATAAATTCAGTTATATTTATTCGATATCAAAAGTATATGCTTTTTATTAAAACATTTGTATGCTTATTGTTATTTAAGACTCCAATGTTGCCTATAACTTCTCCTTTCCGTTCCCTCACCAGAATATGAACTTAGGATTTAAGCTCAGATTTTTGAATTGTAAAATACCTGCTACTCTGTACTCTATACACACATTCTGAATTAGTGTACGTGAAGCGGCCGTACAAGTAACTACATCAAGACACCCGGAACACGTATTGCGACATAAGCGATAATTACGGCTATCCGCGACAGTTGGAGTTGGCAGCTGTAATATAGAGCATACTGGAGTTGTAAAATAGACACAGCCTTTCGCAGACACCATACGTTGGTTTCTGCCAGCTCTGATGAGGTTGCAATTATTCGGCTTTGCGTTAGCACTGACGGCATTCGAATTTCGAACACCGGTTACAGATTCTCAGCAGCTTGGATTTAAATTTAATTGTGTAGTGTTCGACTACTATTCTACGTTTTAAACTGGAATTCCACTGTTACCTTAGTTGCATCGCCACGAATTGTGCTTGACTTTGTTAGCACAAGAACGTTCATTTATGTTCATGTTTAAATAAAAAGGTTTATTTTATTTTAAACCTTTCCAAGAGTCTACTGTAGTTACTTTCAGACATAACAATGATTCGCTTTACATTTGTTAGGGTTTTGGACTATTTAGCTGTTACCAGATCTAGTAAAACCCTATAAACTATTTCATCTCCTATTAAAGAAAGCAGTATTTACAAAAATACGTAACTACGGGCTTTTTAACTAAAGTACATTTCAGGATGGAAAATGATCGCAATGTTGTTTGATTTGTCTGTAGTCAATACTGAATTCTAAATTACAGTCATTCACTTACTTTGAACTATTTATTTGAATGAATATTTTATTTTTATTTTTAGGCAAGTATACGAAATCGATGGTTAGGCTTTTTGTATTTCGTAATTTTATGTAAATCAGTCTCTTACATAACTTATGTAAATTAATCAAGAGCAAACCTCTACTTCGAACAGATCAAGAACTTATATATGCTTCAAGAAGCCTTATTCTAATGAAAAACAAAATTATTGAAATATATAATTTTAAAAATGATTTAAAAACTCGGTATGCAAGTACTGAAAGAGAGTTGTTATACCATAATATTCATTAAAAAGCTTTAATAACTACTGTGTATTATTAAATTCAAACAATGCATTTTAAATCATAATAAAATTACATTTGAAAATTTTCTTTAAAATTAAGTAATTGTTTATACACGAACTGGAGTATAAACGAAGAAGCTGCCTTAGAGCTGCACTTACTATTTTGAGAGACTATATGTTTCTGTCAGTTCTTAATGTATGGAGTTAACCTTGTAAGATTTTATGTTAATTAACTAGTTGTTATGATTTGAACATTTACTTTAACTTCTTCTTTCCACATTTCTCACTGCAATACAAATTAGTTGTAGGCTTAAGCCGAGGGCTGGAATACATTAAAGCTTCTGAAAGCGTCACATAGCAGTTACTTACTATCACCAGCTCTGCCAAAGTTTATTCCGGCTAGCCCACGTTTAAAATACGTGCCATTAATTACCTTGAGCCAGCTTAAGTAGACTATTTTGTGCGCATTCTCAGACTACGTAACCTACATTTGAATTTAACTTCATTATATGTTACTTTCTAAACACTCGCAAATAGCGGAGGGTCATCTGCAGCACAAACATTGTCTTCTGTTCATTTAAGGACTTAAGTAGAAAGGTTATTTTAACCTTCTTACGTGCTTAAATAAAGCGATAACTCGCTTCCGAGTCGAGTAGGATCTGCGGGACAATGAGATAAGGTTCTAGACATGGCAGAACTCTACAACTTTTAAGAGTTAATAATACGTTATGTGGAATTAATCTTACGCTTTCTTCGTGAATAACCAGTTGGCGGAGTTATTAGTAATTTCAGAAAACAATATTTAACTTTTTATACATTATTTTTACGTCGTATATATTGAATTATGGCACTCTCTGCTTTGGCTTTAACTTTGGTATATTTGGATTAATGTGACTAAGAGTGGAATTTAATTACAAAGTATCATTAACTTCCTTTCTCGAATTATCGAGATGGAAGGAATACTTGCATACAGACCCAGTATCAATAGCATTTAACATTAAAAACTTTATTGAGTCTTTTCTTGGATATTACAAACAAAACTGTAAAGATAAGTCTACTTGGCGAAATTAAAATTTACACTTCAAATATACTCCTACGAGGAATCATAGTCACTACTTTTTATCAAGCTAGCCATAAAATTAGCTTACTGATTTGAACAGGACTTTTTCTCATCGTCAGTATTCCAGTATGAATAATCAAAAGCTGTTTTCCAGTGGTTCTTTCCGTATGCTCTACTACTCTTTCCGTACTCTTGCTGCCGTTCTTCAAGTAGAACTCCAACTCATGTGGGATCAGACATAGTGCAGGCTACCGACTAATTAACCAACTACCGGTTCCAGTTAGCTGTTTAAATCCCGACGCTCTTCACAAAATCTGCATAACACTCTGGAACGAGATTGTGACTACGTTCGAAGTGATAAAATAATATACAGACTGTCACAAAATAAATTGATAAAAAAATAGGCAATAGCTTTCAAAGCTATAAGCTTGGTGAATTTCAAAGAATTAAGCATATTTGCTTGTTTTTACTAAGTTGTGCATATATATTTGTTAATTTGCAAGTACAAGAAGGCTATAAATTATCTGTCACTGACAGAACTGTAGTTACTAATAACTATTTAATTACTGTTGCATTTACCAATATATTTATTTAATAATTTTGAGTTATGTATTGTGATGCTGATAGCTTTTTCGAAAGAACTCCAGAGTATCTAGTGTAGTAGTAGCGGTTTAAGGACTAGACTTTATAACTTGCGTCACTAAGTGATTACGATTTTGGGTGAAGTTGGGACCTAAAACTGTTACGTTTCGTTATCTCATCTCTGTTTTGATTTCTGCAGCTAAAAATAGAACCTAAGAAGGTCATCAAACTCATCCAAATGTTATATCAGATTAAAATACTTCTACCATATCTCTCATTACACAATCTATTTTCAATTTTAGTATTTTGCTTAACTTTTTAAGTTATCAAATGAACTTGAAGACTGAGAATAAATTTTTTATATCAATCTCCAACTGTTTAGTAATGGTTAAAGATGACTGAATGATTAAAACCATTACTATAATAATGGCATTGGATCGAATCAAACTTTTACGAGTGATAAATTTTTTGCTTCTGAAAATGGCAAACGATACTTTTATAAGAAATAAATCTGTTGCTGCTGAAACTTACAGTCGCTGTCCAGATTATTGCAAAAAGCTTTTCATTTTAAACTAATGAAAATTATACTGAAAACCCCCGTCTTTTCAAATATTATTATTGAATTATCAAAACTTTAACTTGAAAAGAAAAAATAAAAATCAAATTAAATTTCAGTAAATTCAAGTAACATGTTTATATTCTGCGCTGATAAAAACCGACAGAAAAATACCAAGAATTTTTCAAATAATCCTTTTTTTTTTTTTTTTTTCAGTTTATTGCAAGCAATTACTAATATATTGACTTTTATAAAAACTTCTATATTTTACTTAAAAAATTAAACCTTCCGATTAATTAATTCAGGAAAATATCTTATGGGTACTAATACGGAAAATATTTCATAAATTTTGTGGTTTTTAACTTCCCCCTTGTGCAATCGTATGCAACTTAAAACGACAAATCCGCTGTTGGTTGAAATGGGTAAAGATATTGAACCCTGACAGTTGCATCCGGTTTACCAAAGGCGGCCTCACTAATTAAATAGTAGCATACGTATGCACTGCGTTTCCAAGGTTTCACCCGATGTTTAACTTAAAACACAATCAATTCCTCTTAAAAATCTGAGTAGTACGAAGATATCCTTTCTCCAAAGTATCCTCACGAAGACGGAAACAATGAATCACAGTAAATAACTAAATTATTATAGTAGAGTAAATAGTTTACCACTTCAATTACATTGCACCAAATCCAATATATATATATTTATTTTTATACTGGATATACCTGGTCAGAAGCTATACGTTAATTGACACTCAAATTTTGACAAAAATATTCAGACTTTTGAATTTGGATGACACCCTTTTTTACGAGTTCGAAAGTCTACTTTGGGTTTGACTACTTGATTTCGATGGTTATTAATGTTGATCTTGATTTGGTATGAACAAAATTTGGCGGATACAATATCCTTTTCTATTTTAATGAAAGACATCAATAGGATACATCACAGTAATGCAGCATCAGCACAGCAACTATTACATAATGTTAAAAAAGAGGGGGATATTCTCTTTTGGCGCAACAGTACCCTCTTACGATGAAACGTTGCAACACCTTTCAAGTAATAACTCCTGAAACTTTCCTTTCATTAAAAAACTTTTAAATTATTATTTTAATTTGGAAATAGTACAATAAATAATTTGGAAAATGGTACACTCAATATTTGTCTGTTCGTTTGTTCTTGTTCAAATAAAAGACTTTTTCTTTAGGCTTAAAAACTTGCTATACTAAAATTATATACAAAACATCATTCTGCTGTAAAGAATTTCATAATAGTTTGAGAAAATTATTTATTTGCTTAGCAGGCGTCAGAATATACACTTTTATAACCTTCAAATAAAATTTCCAACACACAAATTAGATACGATTTTTTCCTCAGTAATTTTTCATATAATAAAATGATCAGAAATCTTGGATTGTTTGGGGCAGTAAATATTAAGATGTTTTTTAAATATAGTTAATAAGAATATGACCATTTTTTAAACTAGACAGTAATTTTGACAACATTACAACAGTCATATTTTCTAAGGCGACTGCTTCTACAAACGACAGAAATCGTTTGGAACTCTGACGTCTCTTTGGTAGTATCACTATACCATGCTAGTAAAAATCCAACTAAAATGTATTAATAGCTTGAAATAACATTATGCTTAAAATGCAACATACCTCACTATTCCAATCAACGAAACTAAAAATGTCTTGTCCTGCAATGACTTCCAAAAGTTCCGGTCACTTGGAGATATTTCATAATTAAACTTAGCAGTCGATATAGAGTCTTACGTCCTTTAGTTTGAGATAGAAATTTAATGTGGCTGCTTACAGTAACTCGGAAGATTTCTCTTATAAGACATGGGATGCAAGAACTGAAAATTATCACTTAAATTAACAAATGATTGTTCTGAGATTCAAGTTATTTTAAATAATTATCAAAAAAGAATGCCATAATTTTAGAAAGCTATTACTCAAAAACTGCAATATATAAAGAAACTATTCAAGTGTATAAATGCTTAGAAATTTTTTTCAGTTTTCGCTTCAACTGAATGTTTCGATATTTTCTTCATTTATTGCATGGTAGATCTCGAAAGCATTATTCGATCTCTACGAAGTCCGTTAAGTCATGGAATTGCAACTGCGATATCTACTAGAGTTCATGAAATTATTTACCATAAGTAGTTTTATTGGCCCATTTCCTTAAAAAGAAATCTGTTGAGGTAAGAGATAACAAACACTTCTTGAATATTAATTTTTGCAAGGTGCTAACTTAAGGTCGGGACTTCCGGCATCAAGCTAAATGACTGATACATTTCTCTGATCCAAGCTCTGAGAAACTTTTCATTTATATTCTTCAGATGAATCGTTTTAAGGGATTCAACAGTTTTGGAATAATGTATTTTTATAAAGTTTAAAAGTAAACAATAAAATATGTTAAAATTGTCAGCAACGGTAATTTTTTTCTTTCAATGTCATCAAAATTCATTACCTGATTAATAAATCTTTCCTTTCTTTTATTAAAAATAGCTAACTCAAAATGCCTGGAGGACCATGTGGAGCCAACTGCAACTGCGAGAAATGCCGTTGCTGCTCAGCTGCTGCAAAGTGCAGTGCAGGCTGCAAGTGTGACGTATGCCGTTGCTGTCAACGAGGACAAAAATGCAACTGCGGCGACTGCAGATGCTGTGGCGCAGCAAAGTGTTAATCCAGATTGCTAAACCGTTAACTGGCCATATTTTTTCTAAAATCTGCAGAATAACTAGTGATAAAAGAAAAAAGCTTATAAACTTAGCAGCTTGCAGAATAGTAGTTTGTTTCCAGATGTAAGCAAGAGTTGAAATAAATATTTATTGCTTTTAGTGCTGTATACTTCTTTAAAAATGCAACTTTCGACATATTAAAAATGATCAGTGGTACCTAATAGAATTAAGGCTTTTATATTTAATTGGCTATTATGAATGAATCTTATTTTAAGATAGATGCATATTTATTATGGCATATATAGTTTTCAAACTGTAAACTTTCTATACTTTAAAATTTACAACTTTTTACACTTAAAAAATGATTACAATCTTCTCGCAGTAAAATTTGATAAACATGACTTCATACAAAAATAAAAAATATTTTACATTTATGCAGTTTAATAATATCACTACTGAACTAAAATAATATCACTACTTGAATGAACGATTTTAAGAAAAAAGTAATATGCAGTCTAAATATCAGTAATGGTGTGAAATTTTAAAAAGTTATTCAACAAAACTGGAAGAATTAGTAAATGTTAATTTTCATAATTATTCATATTTGTTTCCTTTGAGTAATGATTTGTTTCTTTATATATGAGAGATTAAAAAAAATTGCAGAAAAAATTCCTATTTTTTAAAATTTGCATTTCATCAAGTATGTGATTTTTATTAAAATAATAAAACTGAAACACTCTTTTTTTTTAATGGCACAAAAACAACATTTTATTATTTAACACACAACAATTTATATAAACTTGCTTAATACTGTATAAAAAAATCAATCACAGAAACAGAATAATCAGAAAAGAATAATACCTTTTTCAATACATATAGAAGAAAGACATAAAATTTATACTAAAAATTGAAATGCAAAAAATTTTTGGCATTTAAAAACACAAGTAAATTTTTTCAAATACAAAGTAAAATATAAGCAGTTTTGGCATTTTACACAAGTATAATTTCATGTTATGTGACAATTTACACACACGACAAAACACAGATAAAGTATAACATTAAGATATTAGCAAAATGTGACAATAAATCAAAAATTAATTTAACATACACTACACAATAACTGTGAGAATACAGTGCTAACAAGTTGATTTTTATACATTATTATGATGAAAAGTAATTTAAAGGATAAAACTTCAATGTAATAAAAGAAAAAAAAATACTTACTTATTACAAAAACTTTTACTAAAATTAGTCAATTTACAAGAGAATGTGTACAATTTTAGTAGATTGCTTATGCATGGTAGAAAATTTGACTCAATCATTTTAAGTATATGATTGTATTTATACCAAAGTTTATCAATATAAAAAACATGATTGCTACAAAGTGTACATAACAAAGTTGTATGCATGTATTTTAAAGAACTTACATTTGGAATTACTTTTAGATTGAGATTTACAAAATACTTTGAAAAGCAAATTATGTTTTATAAAAGAAAGAGAAATATACATTTTTCTCTGAGTTATTTTCATATAAAGTAACATTAGTCTTCACAGAGAATCTTTAAAATAACTATTTAATCCAACTATTTTCTAATAGCATTATTAAAAACAATCAATATTCTTATTAAAACCCTTGATATTTCTATTAAAACACTTCCCATTTTGTTAAAAATATTTTGTGAGCAGTTGTTAATTGATAACTAAAATATATTTTAATTTATTTTACAAAAACTTATCACACAGAAATGGAAATAAAAAGGCACTTTAGCTTTTAGACACAAATTTAATGTTTTCAAAAATGTAAATAATAAAATTTAATACTCTTGGTAGGAGGAACATTTTTTAATAAATTTGAAAAGAAAACTTTGAAATTCTTTACCAAGATGAAATTTAACAAGCATAATACAAGAATATAAACTTAACACTAATTAATCATACAAAAATGGGATACAAACATGCTCAGGCATCGTTATATATTTATTATATGCATTATGAATACAGTTTATAATTTACAAGTATATAGAAATTCTGTATATAAATTGGATTTAAAAAAGGGGGTACACACATGCTAAATGAAGCAGGAAACTTTTAGAATACGCAAAATAAATGATATATTAAAAATGGCACTGATACTTGATTTAAAAAATGATTGTCTAAACGACTGAATCTAAAAGATACAATGAAATACCCGATATTCATTTAAAAGCAAAATTTATGTATAATATATAGCAACATAAAATAAAGGCAAAAAAATGCAAGTAGATGCTGCAAAACATACTAATATGTGATAGAAATTATATTAAGGAAATAAATTAATGATGTCATAAAACAGTATCGGTTACATAAAAAAGGGAAATTTCTTTATTAAAATATATTACAAAGAAACAAAATAATCTACATAATTCTGAGAAAAAGAGAACTAATTACAATACTTTTATTTATAAGATTTTTAAATTAGCATTTAATAAAAGTAAGAATCAATTTTGAAATTATTACACATTTTAGTCCTAAAATTATAAAAAAATTAAAAAGCCAATAATTTTCAAACTATTAAATAAAATTAATAACTCAGTAACATAAATGGAACAGTAAAAAGGAAGTACAGCTTGTATAGAATTTCATTTAATAAGCAACATGCAATTTTAATCATGTGAAATTTAGCTATTGCACGATTTTGCTTAGTAATTATTAATTTAATGCAAATAAATTAGAAAATAAAAAAAGAAAATACAGTTCTTATAATTCCCTTATTTTTTTAAAAAGAATAATTACATATCATGAAAGTATCACTATAATTAAATACTAAGTTTCTAATCACTTAACTAACATCAGAAAAATTAAACAGTTTTTGATTTCTTTAAATTTAGATGAAGTATCATATGTCCAAATCTGTCATCTGCTGAAATTATTTCAACCCTATTGTATATATATTACATATACAATATTTCAGTTTTGGAATAAGAAAACTTTTAAAAAATTAAGAATAAACTTTTATCAAACATATACAATAATACAAAAACATTTAGCACAGCATATAAAATAGTAAGAGTATAATAAATCAGATCAAAGCAGCATCTACTGCAGAATTAAAACTTGCAAATCACATACATTAAATAACAATAAATAAATAAATAAATAAATAAAAATTAAAAAATAAAAAAGACTACTTCAAATATACGACACTATATCTAGATAAAAGTACAATAATGATGTTTCACAAATTCAAATAATGCATTAAATATTACAAATGCTGCACAAGCCCACAAAATTATAGCAATTTAAACAAATAAAATTAAGAGTTTTATAACCAATCATCAAGTTTTGAATAAAATATGACATGGACACAGGATTGATGATTTTTTTTCAAAAAATAAATATTAATTATACAACAATAATAACGTAAGATCTAGATGCTTTATTGATTTGCCAGATATTTTAAGAAGCAATTTTTTGTAACTTTTTGATACTTATGCAAATAATATATACATGTACATAATTACACTTGAAATATAGACAATGGTGAAATATAAGTCTAATTTTATCTTCTCAACACAACAATAAATATTGGCTTATACTGCCAATATGGAATATCCAGATAACAAAAAGAGGAATAAATATCTGAAAGCATCTCCAAGAAACACACAAAAAAATGGAGCCAATGTCCAATTACTTTCTCCTCATCAAAGGAGAAGAAAGATTTCCTGCTTCATTTAATTGAATAAATTTCAGTTAAATAAAGACTCTTTTAGAGATCAAAATTTTCATTTTAAATATGTATATTCACTTATAAACTTATAAACTTGATTTGTTACACTTTCAGGAAGAATGCCCCATTTTTTTATGGCATAAACATGTATCACAAGGAAAAAATAAACAACAAAGTTACCTATTAACATAACCTATTTAAATGTCACATTTTCAGTAAAGTGACACAGAATATTTTGATTCCTTGAAAAGGGTGGCTTATGCCAGTCTCTTTTTAAATACACATATTTTGTATAAAATGAACACCAGTTTAAGGTTGCCTTTTCAATATTTTTAAAGTTACGAAAGTTTGCCTTACTTAGCCTCCTCCTCGCATAATTCACAAATGAGTTACCATATTTCACAGATACACCCTTTGATAAAAAGTGGATAAAATTACTTATGTTATACACTTACTACAGTTTTAAGTATTTTATTGGTAAGTTCCATCTATAGCTACCTATCCTTTATTATATTTTATTTTAAATGCATTTAAAAATGCATCTCTGCAGAGATGTAATAGAGTTCACCTACAATAAATATGTTGTTGATTAATATTTTTGCTTTTAATGCAAATACTGTTTGAAAAATTTTAGTCTTGAATACATATTGATCTTCAATACATATTCTCTTGACATATATAGATTAAACGATAATAACATACTTGTGTGCAGCTTGCAAACAGAATATACGGTTAATACTGAAATAAGAAACAAAGACTTTGTTATTATGGCTTCTTTAGAACATTCCATCTCCCTAGGCCACATATATATTAATCTTCATATTGTATCATTAATTTTCTATTATACATTAAATATATTATTATTATTTACAGTACATATAATATTCATACATAAATAGATTAATAGCATTTGCTTCACCTCAACTTGTAAGGAAATTAATCGTGACAAAATGAAGCATACATAAAGTATTCAAACACAACTTTTTTGCAAAGAATATAAGCACGAAAAAATAAACGCTTTTTACAATATTTTATACATTCCTATTTATTTGAATTTCAATTCAATAATTCCTTTTTCTTCAATTCAACATTAATAATTATACCTACATTTCAAAGACATGCACTTTTGTAAAATTTATTATACATATCTTTGCCTCAGCATAGTACTTAAATTAAAAACCAAACAGGCTTTTAAAAAAAAAAAAAAAAATAGGTTAGAAGATATATTTTATGAAAATTACCCACAGCATAAATTTTTCTGAATGGCCATAAAAAACTGCATATCGCAAATTTAATGTTACTATTGATTACTTCATGCACCCTAAATGTACACAGAATATGTGTCATATACACTGAAAAAATAAAATCTCACAGTGTGTGTGTGGGGGGAGAAATTAAATAAAGAAAATACTTCAATGAAATATTTTATTTCTCCAAATTTTTAGATAAAAAAAAAATTCCTAAAATTTTAATTCAGTTCTTCAAACTTTATACATTTAATGAGATCACTGAAAAAAGTAGATAAATGCTTTTATACTAAAACATATAGCTATATCTATTATTTGATATCCCCCATAACACAAGACATCCTCAGGATATCCTATTTAAGTCGCAATGTCCCGGAAAGCAGTTAGGATATCCTGAGGATGTTGATTCTCAGATATCCTGAGGACTCCTTAAGTCCACATCCTGAGGATATCCTATTCAAGTCTCAATGTCCCAGGATATATGAAGATCTCCTCAGGATGTTGATTTTCAGATATCCTGAGGACTTCGTAAATCAACATCTTAAGGATGTCCTGTTCAAGTCGCAATATCCCGGGATATATGAAGATCTCCTGAGGATGTTATTTCTCAGATATCTTCAGTACTTACTTTTTATGGAAGCTCATATCTAAAAATATTAAAGTAAAGTAACCTTGTACCACACGCAAGTCATGTTACAAGAATCGAAATCTTAACTCTATGGATTACCTATTCTGCATGTGAAAAATTTAATTGTTATGCTTACACTGGTATTTTTGTCTTGTATATGTTGGCTGTAAGTAAAACTCAAAATATTTGCAAATTTTTGTTGTTGTTTCACAGTGCTAGTAATCAGATACTTTCTTACAAATTATATGAGCACGTTTTTCTTACAAATTATAGGTTTTCATATTGAAAGTGTGTTTACGATTCAAATTCTAATTGCTACATCAATATATTTTGTAAATATTATTTTAGATACTTTTGCTAATATCTTTTGAACACCAAATATTATTTACGTTACAGGTTAACTCAGAAAATCTTTCACGAAGACATTTATCCCATGAACAGATGGGCATGATGTACATCCATGCCTTATCTGGCATTCATACATGAGCTCTTCTGTACGGCAATCAGTCACTAATCACTTGCCCATCTCTGAGGCACTAATCAGAAATATCAAGTTATAAAAGTATTCTATTAAATTCATCGATAGTTCTTAGCATAGAAATAACTATATTTTGAAACTGGGAAAAAAAAAAAAAAAAAAACTTTTTGATCTGTTACACTATTATGTTAGTAATGAATGATGTTTAGTGCTGTGCAGTAATAAGTAATAATAATTAATTTTTTTTAACACACGAAATTTTAGTTTACAGACGCAGTTAAAAACTAGTCTGCACAAGGTTTAACTTGTTTTAATTTGAATTTATAAACAGAAGAATAATTTTATTGGGCTCAAAATTTCATTGCAGTTTCTTCGTTCATTTTCTGGTAAGTTCTTTAACAATGAGAATTTGTCTTTCAAAACGACTGAGGTAAGAAGTAACTTATTTTTTACCTCTCTGTAATAGGAAAATGATAAGAATGATTAAGAATGGGAAGAACTAACATTAAGTTCTTACTCTCCTCAAACCTCACTTTGCTACCTCTTTAACCATACAAATATTCCGGTCTTTGCTAAACAAAGCGCGAAAAAAATATATTTCCAGCGCTCTCCAATCTTATACGTAATGCCGGCAATGCTACATGACTCCTCATAATTTAACAATAATTACTGCTTTATTAATTTATTTGTAACATCCAGAAAATGCAGTAAACACGTTTCTTCAAGGTATATAACACAAAATTAAATGTTGTTATAAAAACTCAAAATTAGATAACGGATTAAATAGATGTTCAAACTTTAAATTAAAATGATTTAATTTTTTTAATTAAAAGCGTTCTTTAAACTCAGCAGTTTTATTACTTTATTTTATACTATAAATAACAATTGAAGTTAAAAATCTTAAATGTTTTCTTCCATCATTATGTCATTGTTCGTAAAACTGCTTCTCACTCAAATTTCTTTGCTTTTGAGAAACCGAGCTCCGCTCAAAATGTAACAACTCTAAGCGCTTTTTCTGTAGCCGATGCCCGAAGAAGATTTCTCTTTTGTTAACGTGGCAGATTTATGTGTCAGACCTCCCTTCTTTGTATCCCCCTACAAGGGAAACATCCCTTCACAACAAAGGACGCAGAATGCCCCCAACGGTTTTAATTGCTCCGTAATAGTGATATCCTTGAAGAACCCCACAAAGTGGAAAGTACACTTACTTACTTTCTGATTTCTAGAATTCAGCTATTCTGCTAAACGTTAATAGCCATCATTCCAAATTCTCTTTCAGTTACGAACTGACTTGCTGACGCTTGCAAGCGTTACATTGAGAGAGTGTGAAAAGTAAGTTTCAAAATTTTTCCTTTATTCTACAAAAATTATCAGAACTAAAAAAAATTATCTCAGATATCTAAAAGACGGATTTACAGCAGAATAAATCAACATATATTATCGGATTCGTCAGAAGATGAAGTAGCATTTAATTAGCCTGTGCCGAATTTTGGCGCTAGCAAATATTCTTTAAGTTCCATTTCAAACTTGATTCGAAATATGAACTTTTATGTCTCAAGAAGAACTGACTGATGACGATTACCAAAACGATTATCCCATTTTAGGAATATTCCAAATATAGGACTAATAAATATAGGACTTTATGCTCCTTGTGTGCTTAGGAGTAGTACAAAAATTGATTACTATTAGGAGAGGCGGAGGCACCTTACAAGCACGATTACCACATAAAAATGTTGAACTATTTTTTTTTTTTTTTTTTTAAATGACCAGTTTTTTAAAGCTTTTTTTCCCAATGAATTTGCAAAGAAAACCAAGGAACCAACTCTAAAAGAATTGAAAAACTGGAAAGTACAGGAATACGTCAATTTTTACTGTACACTAGCCCACTTATTTTTATTTTTTTTAAATTTAACAAAAAGCTATATGATCATTTTTTACTATTTCATATTTCGATTAGACTCTTATGCAAAATACAGAATCAGACGGCAATTGATGAATACGCACAGTCTCTATTAAAACTCTTCGTAGTAAATTTTGGGCTTTATTATGAAAAACAGTATATTTTTCATAATGTTCACGGCCTACTGCATATTTACAAAGATGTAAAAATGTTTGGGCCGTTAGATAATTACAGTGCATTTAAATTTGAAAGCTATATATCTTCTATAAAAAAATTGATTAGAAAATCTTCCGTTCCATTATAGGAAATAGCAAGACGAACGAATTCATGAACTGTTTAATCATATTGTAGCCATGAATAATGATTCAATCAACGTAACCGACTTAAGTTCAGAGTTTCAAAATTTACACACATCTGGTCCACTACTTAAAGGTTATTAAATGCTTAATTTTATTATTGAATTTTGAATACAAATTAACTGAAGTCAGAATTGAATTTGTATAATAATTTAATTATGAATATGTCGAAGAATTCAGTTTTGGGCTATTGAATGGTTAAAAATGATCGAAAGATTTTTTAATATTTTAAAGCAAAATTTTCTCTTATAATATTTTGTATTAATAATTAATTTCAAGTCTTTTGCTCAGTTTTAGATAATTTTACAAATTATTAAAAATTAATAAATAAATTGAAATTCTAATTAGAAAAATAAATTGTATAAATATTCTTAACATTTCTTATTTTTCCATTGTAACCACAGATGGAGGACCTGAGACTATTTGTAGAAAATAAGTAGGTTTCACGTTATCACAACATCCTTCACACACTTTCACTGGAATATAAAGAAGATTTCCTGGGGATATACTGGGATGTAACATTAAGCAGTTGAGAATATGCATTTAAGAGCTTAAAGAGATATTGTAACTAGTATTTCAAATCCTGATAACATCCCATATGCTGTCGGTGGGACCTAGATAGGATGTCCTAAGGATATACTGGGATGTGACATTAAGCACTCGGGATGATGAGTTTAGGAGGAAACTGGGGTATTATGGGATGTCCTTAGGATGTAGTAAGTAGGACTTTAAATCCTAATAACATTGCATACACTGTCAATGGGACATAGGTAGAATGTTTTTAGGATATAATGGGATGTGTTTAGGAGGTTAGTGGGATATCCCGGGATGTCCTGAGGATGTGCCCATATCCCGCGAGCAACATCCTCGGGATATCCCAAGGATGTTTTTGTGCTATGTGGGATAAATCATTTCATTCCAGTAAACAAGCCTGCAATAGTTAAATAGCTTATGATAATCCTAATATCACAGCAAGGACAGAGGTAAGGTTAGTGAGGTACCTACCTCATGTGAAGAATGAAGAATGCTAAATTAGCTACAAAAAATTTCGAATTAATTATAAAAAGTTATAATTGGCAACTTTCAACTTTAAAAAGTTTCTAGAGGCAAAAATTTTAATATTTTTCATATTTAAAATGAGATAAAGGTGGTACATTCTTGAATTTTAATACTGATGCTTTCACTTAGGTGCTGAAATAGAAAATATCTGCCTAAAAATATATCTGCCTGAATGGAAGGGATACCTTTCTGGAGATACTCATATTCAACTTACACACAAAGAAAACCATAAAAATACACATGCAGCCAGTCTATTCATTAGGATTTCAACTTGCACTGAAATACCAGTGTTCAGAAGCCTTATAAATTCGGTCGCTGTCAAATAAAAAAAATTGAGAAGTATAGCAGCAAATTATTGTAAATTTTAAATTAAAAAGATATATAAAATGCATAATGCCCTCATAAATACCCATACAAAATAAATGAAACATAAAAATGGAACACTTTATATTAGCTACACGAAGCAATTCAAAAGCATGTTTAAAAAAAAAATCTTTGCAATCGGCTTGAAATGCACAGCTCTATACCTCAGCTGAACTACAACTATCTTGATAGAGACAACAGAAAAAAGACCCGGAGTGGTCCTAATGCACTTAAATGCATAGTAAGTATGTTGTAATTGTGATCTTTATGCAATTTTACCCTACTATCTCTTAATTCTTGCATGAATTAATTTTTATCACTTTTAACCCACTCTAAAATTCATGCATATGTATCGCCATCCATGGATAAAAGATTTAACTATCCCAAGTCTACATGGCAACTGTGTCGCCATCTAGGAGTCATTAGTGTAATTTACCTTCAGCACGAGCTAATTCTTTTAATTAAGTTAATTTCATTTTTAATACTGTAATCCTAATTTGATTATTATCTTAATAGTCGTTTAGGCCACCTGTTATTTTACTTTATGATTCTTTTACTACCAAATAATGTAAAATAAATTACTAATTTAACTTTTAAAGCAAATTTTATAATTAAGCCCCTTCTCCCGACCAATGCCTGATTTGCAAGCAGATGCACTTCCTTTCTAGGTTTGCCAATTGGCCAACAGATGACTGAACCAATCATCTCATTCCACCCTCACCGACCAGAAATCTTCAGTTTCTACATCTCTTCACTCATTCAAGCTCTCGCCATCCTCTTCCTAGCATACAATATTGCAAGTTATGCCTATAATTGCTTTTAATTGCTGAGACAGTAGTAAATTTGCCATATTACCACGTGACACAGTTAGCCAGAGTGACTGTATATGCGGAAATTCATCGCTCTAAATGTTTATAAAAGAACGGAAAAGCAACAAACAAGTGCTTTTAATCTGTTTAACATTTCAAACTCATTTTTAAATGAAATGAAACTAAACATTTCAGTTTAGCCTTTTAATAAATAACATAAAATTTGTAGCATTCTTTTCAATAATTAACTTTCGAAAGAAATCTTAATATGTCATTCAAGCAGCTAGCTGATTTTAATAATCGAACCAGAAAATACATGTAAATTTTTCCAAAAATACTTAAAAAGACACACACAGAAAAATTATACTGCAAGAAAGAGAAAGGTAATAAAACAGGGATAATAATCTATTGAAAGAAATAATCTTTATAATGCATTTTAGCATGATAAAAATTTTCCAAACTATTGCCAATGATAAAACTGCCATTAAAATACCATATTTCCATTTCAAATAGAGAAAAGATTTTTTGATATAAAATATAAACTACACTCATTTCATTGTAGTTTATACTAGTGAATTTCTTTTATTAACCATTTAATGAATAAAAAATCACTCAATTTCTTTTGTTATAATTTAAACGATATTAAGCAATTTAGCAAGCTACCCCCAACTGTCTCCAAATATATCACTTTTCATTTTCAGCAAAATGATAGAAAATAAATAAATTTTGAAGTATGATTTTATTTTAAAAATTATCATCAGAGAGTAATGGCATCACTCTTCAACATCCTTAAAATATTTCCTACAAAATACTGTATGCATTTAAATACATTGAAAGAAGTAACCAATCAAACCTTGAAAAACTGAAAAGAGATAATGGATACTAAAGCTAGTATATGATAATAATTTTAAATCATATAAGCAATAAAATTTTAATTCCATGCAAAATTTTCATACTATTTAATACATTCATAACAGGAACATGAGTATGCTTACAATTTCACAATTCTTGGATACAAACCTGACTGAGGTGTCACGATAAATGTAAAACCTTCTTTGGTTTTAAAGAACCTTTGATAACATTTTGTATAAATTAAGCTTATTTATCAATTATTCAGTTTTCTGCAGTGGTTTATTCACTATTTTGTTTTATCTTTATGTTGCTATTTCAAAAAAAAAAAATGTGATTATTAAAAAACTTTTACTATTGCACATATTAATTTCTTTAGAATCTATATTTTCCATCTAAAGTTATATTTTAAACTTGTATATATTAGCCAGAATTCAAGATATTGAAAAATGCAACAGAATAAGAAATTCTCAATACAGAAAAATTCAAAATATAACCACAAATGAGCATTCATCATATCTTAGGACATTAATTACTTTCTTTTTCTTAACTGTTTGAATTAAAAGATTTTTCAATACAATACAGCCTTTCTTAACAAACTTATCAAGATGAAAGCCACAACTTGTTAATCAAAATTTAGGTTAATAATCATTTGGATTTGGGATTTACTAAGGCAAGGGGAAAAAGCTGAATATTTTCTACATAAAAAGTATGTGGGCACTTTTCAGTTTTATTTTGGCAGATCATAGAACTCCTACAAATAATAATGATACCGGCTCTATTACAGAAGAGAAACATTACAGCCTGTTCAATCCATTGTTAAAGCATGTACATACTGAGTGAACTAAGAAATGAAAACAGGTTGAAGGTAGTTCCATTCTATTTGTCATGGCACTCAGAATTATTTTCTGCTGAGGTGAAGAAACAACTAGTATAAATATTTATATATACTTTTCTATTAACACTTAATAATTACCAAAATATTTTACAAATACCTTAAAAAATTAAGTAAACTGATTAAAAGCATTATAATATTTTTTAAAACATATTCACATTTTAAAGCAGTTTAGTTGTACCAGATACTGGCCAGCAAAATCTGAAATCGTGGTTAATTGAAAGAAATCAGCTAAAGTACATATAAGCATCATTAGAAAAGATCAAACTATATTTTATACAGCAAACAATGCCTCCATAGATAACTGTTCACAAACAGTTTCAAAAAGCAGCATTTCCAAGTCAATTTTTGTGAATGATACAAAAATGAATACAATATAATTATCATTTGATTTTTTAAATGAAAATTCTATACAATTATGACAAATGCAAAATACAAAAAATGTTTGAACTTTTAAACATTAATTGACATTTTAATATTCAAATAAATATAAAAATAAAGGCAAAATGAGCATTAAATGAATATTGATAAAATAAATGCAAAAATACTTTAATTTCTTATAAAAGTGCTCCTGCCATTTGGTTTGTTTAAACTGTCGAGAAGAGACTACTGTCTGTCACTGGAAATCAAGAAAAGGCTGCCTTTAATAGGTTATAATAAACAAAAGTAATATCAGACATTAAGAAAGAAAGGGGGATTAAAAAAACAGTCCTTAAAAAAATAGAAATTCCTATATCCTTTACAGTCTCTCTCTCTGCTCATACCTTTCAAACAATACATAGCTTTCAGCAATTTGTTTTATACTACTATTATAAACAACAAACATTTTATAGAATGTCTCTTTATAAAAGGGGAATTTTAATAAAAATAATATTACGCTTTCAGATTGCACTTTCTTTCAGCACCTTTCCAAATTCATTTAGATGATACTGTCGTATCCTTCTTAATTCATTTTGAAGTTTTTCATACACAATTTCTAATTCTTCAACATTAGTAATATGCTGCTCTTGTGCAGTTACTTTACAAGCAGAATCATTGGCAGTATTTTCTTCTCCACTCAGTCTCTTAGAAACAATTTCATGTATTATTTTCTCAAGAACACTGTTAGAGTCTGGTAAAGGTGAATTATCTTTAATGCAATCAGTTTCCTAAGGAAAGATTCAAATAAATGTTACTTATAATAAATAAATTCATCAGAGCATCATTCAGGTTTTTGAAGATAATTCTTATAGTAAATAATATTAAAACATATGTTAGATAAAGATATAAAATATAAAAGGAATAAGAATTCCTCTAATTATATTTATATACAGTCAAACCAAACCATATTAAACTCAGCTCATAACTAACTCTTGTATTTAAACCTTTTGATTTCATACAATCTTCTATACACTTAGTTACTTTACAGCCATAGCAAACTTCCAAAGTTATGAAAATTAGATATAATGATATACATGGATATCTTCAACTGAAGCTTTTTCATTTTCATATTTTTTCCAGAATTTCTGCAATTTTGAGCCACAAAATAAATAAATAAATAAAAATACTAGCCCTTAAAATTATCTACATTTAGAGTATAAGTATTCATATTCCATTTGTAAAGGAAAAAACTTTACATTTCTTTTCTTTTATGTTCAACCCCACAATTCTCTGTTCTAAACAAGGGCTATGCAAAACAGGCGTGACATCCAATCTAGGAGAACAAAAATATAATAAACATATCTTAGGACTATGGCATTCTTTGGATAAGGTATTCTTTGATTCCATTCATGTAAAGGCTTATAAGTAAATTCTTTGTCAAACAGACTCTATTCAAGGCTAATGCTATGAAGGAAATTTAAAAATTTTTGTTATTCTAAGAGAGAAGTGAATGAAGTAATTCGAGTTTTAGGGATTGAAGATATTTTTTACCTTTATAGCATTATCTTGTTTCAGTATAAATGCTATTTAGATTATGTCTACTGGTTACATAATAAACATATATTCATTCTCTAGAACTTTTGCAGGACATAAATTCTTTACAAATGTTATTGAATCTTGGCCTTGCAACAATAAATATCTTACGACAAGAATTTAGCAATATTTTTTTGTTATTCATTTTCATACAAATATAAAAACAATGCTTTTATATTTTTATGGATAAAGTAATTATCCACAATTACTCGTGTGTAATTTGAGGAATCATGATTCCTTAAATCCAAGGTTTCTAAGATTAATTGGAGGAATCAGGATATTTAAGCTATAATGTACTTTATCGTGTAAAATTATTAATGAATAAATTATTATAAATGAAATAATTGTAATAAAACTTAATGTGAATGTTTTTAACTTCAGTTTATTATTTACTTCTTTTGATAGAGGTGACAATACTAATACTTTTTTTTCCTTTGTTCATTTAATTTTTAGATGATTTTGTGAGATAATCGATTCTTTTTATTGAAGCAGACATAACAAACCAAACTTCAGGTCACTTGAAGTTTGTTATAGTAGGATCTGCATATACATTTAACACCTGAAACATTTGAATTTGATATAGTTAAGATTTTTTTTTTTTGACTTTTTACTATAATACTATCTTTCATTAACATCACAAAATAATACCTCAGTAAATAACATGTGGCAAAAAACACAAAATTATTTAACTTACTTTAATAATATTTATTCATGAAATACTGCATGAATGGACGGGCATCATAAAAGTTCAAGAAATGATTAAACATATTAATAAATAAATGTTTAACAAAGAAAACTGATAAAACTATATTATAAGTAAAAACAAAAGTAAGTAAAGTAAAGGCTTATAAGTAAAAATATAAGTGATTCTGTGATTTAAAGTCCACTGGTTTTATACATTATAGTTTTGATTGTTATTTGAAATTATTAACATGTTGATTGAAACACAGCAATATTTTATGCGTATTTGCAAATTGCAGTTTTAATTTTGTGATACTTCCTTAAAAAGCACATTAATTCAATATAGCGATATATATTGATAATAATATGTGATTTGAGATTTATAAAATGAAATGTCTTCGAGACTACCACATGCGCCAACACTATCTTGACCAATCAGGTTAATTTTATACAAATCTTTTTTTCAGTCATACTTTATTACAACAAATACTTCATAACATTTTATTTTTTGGCATTAAATAAAACACCTCCATATTAAAGAAACACAAACATTTATTGGCATAAAGGTATAGGATCAATAGTTTGATTCTGTAGCCATTTTTTTGCTTGGTATATACCTCAAATAAAAGCATTCTACCAAATAAAACAAGTTTTCAGTGTTCAGTCCATTTACGAGGCGAAATTTAACAGAAATCTTTTTCCAAATGTAAAAAAAAAAAAAATTAAATGATATCCATGGGATAAAAGATTATATTTAATGCTGTTTAAATTTAAAATGACTGATCAGTTATTCAGTTTAAGTACATGTGGGAATTTATTCATTCAGGACTCAGATAAGCCTTAAGCATATGTGGTAAGTAGATATAAGTATAATAAATATCTAACATAATTTAGGATTAACTTTTGCAGCATATGATAAAAACAACACAAAATTCAATAAAACAACATGTCTTTAGGCACCAATTTTATGATATGATGATACACAGCCAAAAGTGTACAGCAGATGGTAGCTAAGTATTACATGTTTGTTAAAAGAAGACACCACTGATTCTGAGGAATCTGTAGTCTGTTAACATACCAAATTGTGTTATTATTTAACTTTCTAATTTGATCCAACTAATTAAATTTTGCAGGCTTTATTATGACACTAATCTTATGGAAATTAAAGTTCAAATTTTCAATCATGTGAAAAAAGAGTTTCTAATACTGGTGCTGCAGCAGGATTTGCAAAAAAAAAAAAAACATATTTTGATGTTTATTAAGCAAAAAGAGGAATTGCTGCAAAAAACAGATAAAACAATATCCATCTCAAAATATTCAAGGGGTATGGCATTTAAAAGACAATAATATATAATCTATATATATATATATATATATGGAAACAGAAAAAAGAAACTTTTTGAACTTTTTATGGATTCTGTACTCCTCACACAAAATCATTTGTTGTGCTAAAAGTGATGATTGAATGAGTGCAGCGTTACAGCGTGGGCATACCATTAGTGGGCCCAATGCTAATGGCTCAAGCCATAATATTTCACTAGGAAATAGAGTTGAAAATAAATGCAGATACTAATTCAGAAGTCAAACAACAAAAATCAGCGTTATACCTACAAAATTTTCACAGGACTAGTTTCGATGGTTTTACCGAACCATCATCTTCAGCTGCAAAACCGCAAATGAACAAGATAGGAAATAATGATTAGATAAGATAAGAAAGCCTGGACAAGAATAAGCAAGTGGTGCCATCTGTTGTCGAAACCAGAACTAAAACATAATTTCTCTAAAAGCCGAAGGCAAATTTGGATTGGAATTAGGATCGTTAACTACTAGAACAGAAAGATTTTTATGAATGTGAAATGCCTCTAGAAAATCCAGTTCTTCAATGGAAGATGTTTTTTGAATAATTTTAGCAGCAGAAAAATTGAAAGTGTGATTTTCGGACCAACAATGTTGAGCAACAGAAGACTTCTGTGTTTCCTTTTTTCTAACATATGCCTCATGTTCTTTGACGCGAAATTTTAAGGCTCTCTTAGTTTGGCCAATGTAAATTCAGGAATTCATATCCGGAATGGGGTCCTTAAGTATGGAACTCGGAATTTTATTGATGGGAGAATAAACAACCCGAAAGTTAAATTTCTGCAAAATATGTGCAACTTTATAGCTAATTGAGGGAAAGAAGGGAATGACAACAGAATTTTTATAATCTCCTAAAACAAGAGTGTGCCTTTTAGTGTGTTGAGATGAGAATTTTTTAACTGCTTGATTAATAATGTTGGGTGAAAAGCCCCTGTCAATAGCTATTGCTTTTAAATAATTTAGTTCTTCATCAAGGGCTAGTTTGGAGGAGCAAACTTGAAGAGCACGGAAAACATAGGAATAAAATGAAGCTAACTTTTGTTTAGTCGGATGACATGATTTAAAGTGCGGCGGAAGGCAAACCGATGAAGGTTTACGGTAAACTGTAGTACTGAAGTTGGATGTGTTACGTGTGACCAGAATGTCGAGTAACGGAAGAGAATTGCAAGTCTCAAGTTCAAAAGTGAACTGAATAGCAGGATCAATAGAATTCATTGTTGAAAGAACTTTATTTAAATCATCTTTATTACCTTCAAACAGGGTAAAAGTATCGTCTACGTAGCGGAACCATGCCGGGAAGTTTAAGGTTTCAAACAATTTTGATTCATAATAATGCATGTAGATATCAGCCAGGATGGGACTGAGGGGGCTTCCCATGGCTAATCCCTCAGTTTGCTTGTAATATTTATTTTGGAAAAAACAAAATGTGTTTGTTTTCAAACAGAGTTGAGTGAGAGAAATTAGCTCATCAATTTCGATGCAAGAGAAATGAAATTCGTGAAGTCTGGTTTCTAGACATCTTAATGCACCCTCCACTGGGACATTGGTGAATAATGGTTTTACATCAAAAAAAACCATGAGTAAATTACTAGGAGAAATGTTTTTAACCTTTTTTACAAACTCTATTGAATTTTTTATGGTGTAAATGTTATTGTCTAGAGTAGAGTGGAAAATCTAGAAACTAGATATTTAGCTAAAGGATAGGGAGGCAGTACCTAAATTTGATACAATAGGGTGGAAAGGAATACCACTTTTATGAATTTTGGGAAGAGCATATAATCTGGGCACAATTCGCAAACAGATGGGATAAGCGAATATTTTAAGTTGCTTGAAATGATTTGCGAAGATTTGATCGCAGTTTTTATTTTGGATAAGTGCGAAGGTGAAGGATCTTTAGGGATCGGATTATATGGTCCTTCGTTTAAGAGTTTAGTGACACCATCGATGTAAGTGTTCTTATCCATGACGACTATCTGGCCACCTTTGTCGGCCTTTAAAATGATAATATCCGGGTTAGAATGAATTTCGCGCATTGTAGCTCTTCCTCTCGCAGTTAGATTTGGTTTCAAAGGTTTATTATTGAATTTCACATTATGAGCGATAAGATGCCTAATCATTTCTTTCTGTGAATCTGAAACTTTACTGAACTTCAAAGCTT